TTTTTTTTTTTTTTTTCCATGTATGCTGCCAATTGTGATGCCACCTGTGCAACCCATCTCTTTAAACCTTTTTTTTTTGGTTACTGGAATGCGGGATGCCAACAAAAAAAACATATGAAAAAATAAGACAAGCGGGAAAATAAGAAGAAAAGGGAAATTTTTTTTCGGTTGCTGGAATGCGGGATGCCAACAAAAAAACATATGAAAAAATAAGACAAGCAAGAAAATAAAAAGAAAAGGGAAATTTTTTTTTGGTTGCTGGAATGCGGGATGCCAACAAAAAAACATATGAAAAAATAAGACAAGCGGGAAAATAAGAAGAAAAGGGGAAGAAGGCGGTATACTTTCAATTTTCCCGCTTGGCTATTCATCACATGACCAGTCCATTGGTTAACATATATTGTTTAGCCTTGTTTTATCTTTATTACCCAAAACGTGAAAATCTCAAGATACAGAGTATAAGAACAGAGGAATCTCTGAAAAGGGGAAGACATTGTGTTTTGAGTAAAATTGTTGAGGCTTTTTAGGAGGTAATAATCAATTAGTAATCTATGATTAAAGATCGATTAAATATAATATTATGGTGTTAATTACTTATTTGGTGTTGTTCTCCACTTTGCAGAATGAAATAGATATTATTCTTTTGTTCTTTTGTTCTTTTCTAATCTGTGGTCCCTAATTTTTGCAGGTGAAATGGTTGATTGTGTTGAATATGGTATATACTTGAATTATGGGGGTAGATTCATTAGGGACCCAACACTTCAGTATGTCGGAGGTAGTTTTCATAGTATATGGCTCAAACCTAGTAGTTTTGAACCCCGTATTTTTAGAGAGAAATTGCAATGCTTGCATATTGACATAGATGGCATGGCAGATTTTGTGTGGTATAAAAATCCTGCAAAGAAGCTTGATAATGGCCTTGTGTTAATTATTTCTGATGATTCAATTGTTGACATGTTTGAACTATTAATGTATCATGGGTATATAGATGTCTACGTTGAACATGAATATGAAATTCAGAAACAAGTGACAAAAGGTGGGCCCTCTCATGGGAATAATGGTTCAGTAAATGATGTTTTAATGGTTGGTGAGACAGTGGCATGTAATGTAAATTTGCATACATCTGGGGTTGATTTAGAATGGGAATATGGTTTTGGTTGTGTTAGCCAGGAGATTCAAACACCAATTGTTGGACAAAATACTAGAAATTGTGCACAAGGAAGAACCGAAGAAGATGTGAACAGTGGTGAGGAGTATATTGATGTTCCTTGGTTAACCGACAATGAGGATGAGGAGTGGCAAGCAGCAAGGACTCAGTACAGGGATAGTTTTAAGTTATATGGAGATGATGCTGATATAGATAGGGGTTTATTTGATCCAACTGAAGCATTTGTTGATGATGGCCTCAGTGACTCAATTGATTCTAATGATGAGGTCAGCTTTGTTACAACTAGTGATGATAGTGAGGCAGAGGAAGCAAGAAGAAGGCGATCACTGCACAAGGTGTTTGATGACTCCATTGTCAATCCAGAGTTTGAAGTAGGAATGATTTTTTTGAGTAGGAAGCAGTTTAAAGATGCTGTTCTAGCACACTCTATTTATGTGAAAAGAGAAACAATCTTGAAGAAAAATGATAAAAAAAGAGTTAGGGCTGTATGTGCAGATAAGAGGTGCAATTGGGCTTTGTTACTGTCCATTGATGGTAGGACAAAAAGCTGGATGATAAAAACTTACAAAGATGAGCATACATGTGGTTTGAGTTGTAATAACAAGAGGGTTAAATCAAGAATTTTAGCCAGACACTTCATTAAGACAAGGGGCATTTCAGCTACTACACTTTCCCAAATCAATATCCAAGAAGCAATTCATGAGGAACTCCATCTTGAGATCACAATGAGTCAAGCTAGAAGGACAAAACTAATTATTGTCAGAGAGTTTCAAGGCAACTGTGAGCAAGAATATAAGAAATTATTTGATTACAGATTAGAGCTATTGAAGAAGAATCCCACTTCTACATTCGAGATTGATGCAAGGAGGCCTACACTAGATTCTAAACCTGTTTTTTTACGCTTTTATGTTTGCTTTGCTGCACTGAGAGAAGGGTTTATAGCTGGTTGTAGACCAATACTTGGTCTAGATGGTGCGTTTTTAAAAGGTCCTTGCAAGGGTCAATTACTATCTACAGTTGGAAGGGATGCAAATAATCAAATGTATCCAGTTGCTTGGGCCATTGTGGAGGGTGAAAGCACAAGCACATGGACATGGTTCTTGGAGTTTTTGAATCATGATCTAAAAATTGGTGATGGGGAATATTATACCTTTGTATCGGATCAACAATAGGTAAATTTTTATGTTTTATTGATGAATTATATACTTGTGCAAGCAATGATTAAAGAAAGTAATTTATCTTTTTCCATTTTGTAGGGGCTGATTAATGCTATCCAGAATTTGTTCCCAAAAGCACGTCATAGAAGATGTGCTCGGCATATTTATGCAAATTTTAGAAAGGAACACAAGGGTAAGGCATTGCAAAGATGGTTTTGGATCACTGCCAAGTCAACAAATGAAGCTGAATTTAAGAGGAATCTCGAGGAGCTCAATAAATTGAAGCCTGCAGCTAAAGATTATGTGATGAAGTTGGACCCAAAATTCTGGTGCAAGGCATTTTTCGATTCCTATGCAAGATGTGATGTAGTTGACAATAACATGACCGAAGCTTTCAATGGTTTCATTCTAGATGCAAGGCATAAGGGTCCTCTCTCATTGCTAGAGGATCTTAGAAGAAAGTGGAGCAAAAGGAACATTGAAAAGTTGGAGTTTGCCGAGAAAAAATTCAAAGGTGATTTTGGTCCAAAGATTTGGGAGAAGATTGAAGACCATAGAGACAAAATGTCAAGATGCCATATAAAATCACAAGCAAGATGGCATTATGAAGTACAAGAACGACCATATTCCTTTCTAGTCAATCTTCGGGACCAAACTTGTAGTTGTAGAGTTTGGCAGCTCAATGGTATTCCCTGTAGACATGGAATGCTTGTCATCCAGCATAGGCACGAGAACTATGAAGATTATATGCACCCATGTTATAGAAAGCAAGCCTACATTGACACATACAAACATGAAATAATTCCTATTGATGGAATGCAATTGTGGGTTGATTCAGGGATGCCTGAAGTTGATCCTCCAATTCCAAAAAACTCACCGGGAAGGCCTAAGAAAAATAGGCATTTAGAAGAATGGGAAAAAACTAGTGGATCAACCTTGAGTAGAAAGGAAAGGGTAATGACTTGTCAAGTATGCTTCAAGAAGGGTCACAATTCAAGATCATGTCCAAAAAAAATCCAAAAAACTGCTGTAAGTTCCAAACTATTTTTTTTTATTATTGTCTAAATTTTTATTATGTGAAAAATTAATTTGAGTTGTGTGAATTATGTGATAGGTTGAAGAATCTTCAGTAAATGCTCAAAATCCCGGTTCCATTAGATGTCCAACCAGCTGCTAATGTTCAACCAGATTCTAATGTTCAAGCTCTTTTTAGTGTTCAACAAGTTTCTGATCTTCAAGCTCCCGTTATTGTTGAATCACATTCTGATATTCAACTTCCAGTAGGAGCTCAGCAAAATTCTGATGTCCAATTAGATCCAGTAGCTTTTGAGTCAACTGTGATGGTTTCAAAAAAAAATCATTCAAGGAAAAAACAGATTGCAAAGAGTGTTGAATTGAGTAAAATACCTAAAGAGTTCAGAAGAACAAGTCGGTCAAGGATGAAAAAGAGTACTCCGGTAGTTGAAGATTCTGGGGTGATCAACTCTTTCAACATTAATGAGAATGCTGCTGCAAGCAATACTACTAAATCACAGAAGAAAAATGGTGAAAAGGTCCTGATATTTATGTTTTATTTCTTGATTTTACTGGTTTTAATGACTTTAGACTTGTTTTTTTTTTTAGCATTTGTTTGACAAATTTGGGTGTAGGGTGTTGCAAATCAAAAGAAAAAGCAAGCCAAAACTAAGAAAAAGCAAGCCAAAACTAAGAAAAATGAAGCTCCTGCAGTGACTTTACAATCTGTCCAATTGAATGCTGAGAATGTTGATATTTTTGGCTTAAATATTGGCAACTTACAAACTGTTATGAGGACTACCACAGTGAGCATGGAAGAAAATATGGTGTCTAGCCAACCACATCAACCAATTAAAAGACAAAGCATCACATACCAACAGTTAGATGTGGGTGCTATTCATGTGATTTGAAATTTTAAATAGCATCTATTTTAAAATTTTTGTTTATATTTATGTTTTATTTCATATATTTTACTTGTGTGGAGTTGCTATTATTTGTAGGCTGAAAGATGTGCAAGATTAAGGGCCATAAAACAAACAAGGTTGGATCAAATGGAGGCTGCTGATTGGGGATCCTTACTGCAA